AAAAACCAAAAAAAAAAAAAAAGAGAAAAAAGAAAAAGATCTGAAAAACAAAGCAAAAATGTGCGCACATGTATAATGGCAAAATGTTAATTATTAAATCTAGGTGGAGGGTCACTGTAATTTGTGTAAGCCAGGGTCTAACTATGTAGTTCAGGATAGACTTTAACTCTCTATGTAGCCCAGGCTGGCTTCAAACTTATAGCAATCCTTCCTCAGCCTCCCAAGTGCTGAGATTACAGGAATGTACAACCACACTCAGCTACGTTCACTGTAATTTTTTTTTTTTTTTGCCTACAAAGTGTAAAATTATAGACTGATGACACCTAAGCTTGGCCAAAGTTTTGCAAAATTGATACTTGGAATGAATGTAAAATTGTAAAGCATTTTGAAAAGCATTAGAATGCATCTTAATAATATCTATTAAGATTTAGCTATTTCACCAGGCATAGTGATGCATGCCTTAAATCCCAGCACTTGGGAAGCTGAGACACGAGGACTGTAGTGAGTTACATAGCAAGAACCTGTCTCAACACCCTCCCAAAAGATTTAATTTCCCTATTTTTGAACTGCAGTTGCTAGTCTACGTGGATCCTACAAAATACTACCACAGAACAAACTGCAAACATGGTCACTATACCATTTCTTTCATAGAAGAAATCTGGAAACAATTTCTAAGGAACTTTTCTAAATTTCTAAATTTCTAAAGGAACTTTTTGGTGTTTTTTGTTGTTGTTGTTTTGGTATTTTTGAGACAGGGTCTGGCTTTGCACTTTAGGCTGGCTTTGAACTCACTATATAGCCCAGGCTGGCCTCAAACTCGCAGCAATACTCAATGCTTCAGCCTCCCAAATGCTGGAATCCTCACTGTAATTTTTTAAAACTTCTGTAAGGGACAATTTTCCTAATAAAAAGTCAAAATAAAAATAAGAGAGCCAGACATGGGGGTACATGCCTATAATGTCAGCACCTAGAAGACTAAAGCAGGAAGATAATAAGTAACGTCCTGAATTAAAAAAAATAAAATAAAATGGCAAGAAGTGCCTTGTCAAAGAAGTCAACTAAGAAATGACCAAAGGCTATTCATTCTCTAGTTAGACCCAGTAAGCTGGCAAGGACAGAGCACCAGGCAGAAGGCCCATTCACAGCAGAAACAAAATGAACACCGGTCTCTTCTTGCCTCTTTTCCTTCAGCACTGTAACTTATCTCTGGAAGATGCAACACGTATGTTCCTCACGTATGTTCCTCATACCGTTTCCTGCCACCATCTCCTCTTGAGGGTTCTGTGGGTCATTTTCTTCCAATGTGGCCTCAAGGGAGCAGGCCTGTGAAGCGTGTCGCAGACGCTCCGGGTGTGCTCTCTTGAACTGCTGCATCCGCTGAAGAACCAGCTCTGCAGTGCGGGGTTTGGAGGGGCTTGGCACAGCTGTTGTCGTCAAACAGGACAGAGAGGGCTGGGAGTCATCGTTGGGAGCATTCGCTAGCAGGGAAGAAAACATTCACGGCATGTTCCACCTGAAGTAAAGACTTCCCAACCAGACACAAGCTAGAACCAAGTTTACCAAGTTTAGGTATGACGAGCAAGTGTGAGGAGACTGCTTGTTAGCAACATTACTGCTTGCAGCAGTATAAATTTAAATACCACTGATGGGCAAAGAGTGGGGAGTGACTGCTGGGGAGCATGAGGTTTATTTTTAGGGTAATGAAAAATATTCTAAAATTAAGCAGTAGTGGTGTTGGCACAATTTTGAATATACTAAAAACCAATGAACTGTTTACTTTAAGATGTAAACTTTGTGAAATGTGAATTCTATTTCAAGCAATTGTATTAATGCAGTTATTGAGAGGGGGCACATGCCTATAATCGCAACACTCTTGGAGGCTGAGGCAAGAGGATTACAAGTTCAAGTTCAGCCTGGAAAACTTAGTGAGACCCTGCGGGGAGGGGGTGATATAGCTCAATGTGAAGGTACTGGGTTCAACATGCCAGTGGTTCAATACCCAGAACTGGAAAAAAAAAAAGTAAAGCAAATGTTTCTTTCTAGATCTGCTCTCTTTTAATTTGGGATCCACAGATGACCTTCAGTGGAGATCCACAAACCCCCTGAAGTTATGTCAGTTTTGCAGGTATGCATGTGGATAGGGTTTTCCAGGGGGTCACACACAGCTTTCATCAGATGCACAAAGGGAGCATGAAGGATTAATAGCGCCTGTGTGCAACAATCTCCGCCAGCTAAGACTTTCCTCTACTCCTGAGGGGAGCGATTTCCACACTAGAAACACAAAACAACATTATTTAAGATCAGAAAGTGAAGGTGAGGAAAATCTAGAAACAAAACTCAGGAGCCCAAACAGCCTGTGATGCATTATATATGCAATGGTGACTTTTCAGTTCTGCATGAGGAATGTATCCTAAGCATCTGGGTCAGTACACCAAGGGCAGTGGGGCAAGAAAGCTGCTGCAAACAAACAAACAAACAAGAAAAAAGTCTTTGGGGGAAGAGAAAGGAAGGTCCTAAATACGTTGTAGGACTGAAAGCCACACTGCACCCTCCTATGGCCTTCAGTAGCCAAAAGTACTGGCTCATTTAACTTACCCCTTTGAAAGGAATTCAAGAAACAAGAAAAGAGGTTTATTTTCATATTTGTGTAAATTCTCAAAAAGTGGAGGGCTCCAAACATAATCATGTGAAAAATTCACATAGGAGTTATATTTCTTATGATTATTGCTTAAAACAGGAGTCTGCAAACTGGTCCTGTGGCGGGGAGCTTGTTTTTGTAAATAAAATTTTATTGGCACAAAGCCACACCTATTTGTTTCCATACTGCCCTATGCAGCTGCATTCACTACAGCAGCAGAGGGACTGGGGATTTAGCTCAGCGGCACAGCGCCTGCCTGGCAAGCACAAGGTCCTGAGTTTGATTCCCGGTACCAGAAAAACAAACAAACAAACAAAAAAAAAAAACAACAAACTACAGCAGCAGAGTTGGACACAGTTTCAGGGGCCCCTCCCCCCCGTGAATACCAAAATCTGCAGATGTTGAGTCCCTTATATAAAACAGTACACTATTTGCACATAACCTACACACATTCTTCGTGTGCTTTCAGTTATTCCTGTATTGCTTATAAAACCTAATACAATATAAATGCTATGCAGCTATTACACCATATTGTTTAGAGAATGATGACATGAAAAATTTCTGTACAGGTTCAATACAAACAATTTTTTCTCAAATATTTTTCATCAGAGAGTCATTTAATCTACAGATCTGGAACCCACAGATAGTGAGTTCCATCTGCAGTTGTAGTACGGACTGTATGGCCTGCAAAATCAAAGTATTTACTATCTGGCCTTTTTAAGAAAGTTTTCTGACCCCTGGTTTAAAACAGTAACAAGCATGCTATGTCCTCCCTAGAAAGGCCCAGCAGCGGTTCTTGACTGGTTACCTGTCTGGATGCTCTGTGCTTGGTCCTGCAGCACAGCCTGATTCAGAGCAGGGGCGAGCACACCTCCATCTCCACTCACAGGAGGAGCGGGTTCACCTTCCTGAGACTTGCTTGGCCCTTGCTTTTTAGCCCTAGGGGCCTGACTGCATGACCGAGGCTTCTTTAAAGTGCCAGGAAGGGTTTTGCTCTTGGTGGCAGACTGTTTGGTCTTTTTCAATACGCTTATCTCAGTGCTGTTTGAAGACTCTTGTGTCTTCCTTTCTCCCAACACTTCCTTGGTTCCAGTTCTTTTCACCCTTTGGAAAAAGCTGGCACAGAGTTCTTTAAAATCATCATCCGACTCATCCATCCTCGGAGCAGTTTTAAGGCTTTCAGGGTGGTCTTCAGGGGAGTGGGGCGTACTCTGCAGGCAGGTCCTCAGGGGAGAACATAAATCTGTGCACCTGTCTAGCCGAGCTTCATTCACCACTTGTCCTCACCAAGGTTCTTCTCTACTACTTGCTGAGCTACTACTTGGAGAATTTGCACAACTGACAAAAAGTAGTGTTTTCCTCTTCGGAATGATTTAAATGTCTTTCTTTATATTGGGCCTGTGGTTAAACAACATGTTTAAAGCTTCTCTCTGTTAAAGTTCACAACTCAGAGAATGTTCTGTGCAACAGCTGTCTTGCAGATGGATTACATGTGAACTCAGTGCTCAGATTCTCCAGGATTTCCATGGTGATAAAGTAGATGGTTTCATCTAATTTCTTACCTGTGGAAAACCAAAAACATCTAAGTGTAATTACACAGACATTGTCATTTTATATTATTTGTTCCAGGAAGGTACAAGAGCACATGGTATATGGGAGAAGTCTCCAGTGAAACAGTACTCTGTTACGTGCTCGGAACAGCCTGGTTAACACGATGCTTGTCCTATAAGACCACAACATAACACAGGAGAGGCATCTAGAAACCTGCCCTCACATCTTCCACAGGAAGAAAACTATGTGCACCTTGGGAGAGTCGTTTTTACTAAAATCTGCAGAACAAACCCTATGAGTGGCAGCTGCCACAGAAACAGGATGATCCCCAAGTCTAAGGAACCTATTTACTACACTAAAGACCCCCAGCTACCACCTTTATCACTGAGAGTTATCTATTCGCAAAAGTTGTAACGTGAGAGAAAAAAGTGCATGGTATCTGAACAGTCAAAACAGAAAAATTAGCTTTTCTCTAACCTCTTAAGCCACAAGAGCTCTCCAAACCCAGATGGCTGGAATACTGCCTGTGTGCAAAGGCTGGTCCTATCAGCATCATTAGATGGTTTGGCACACAGCTCCGTGGGGTTCAAAAATGAAAAGTGAGCACTCATGAGGCTGAGGGAGTAGGATTGTTGTGAGTCTGAGACCAGCCTGAGCTACATGGTGCGCTCAAGGCCAGCGAGACCTTGTCTCAAACACCAATAAATAAATAAATAAAAACTGAATGACCTAATGGCAGGAAGTTCTTTACTTCAAACACAACAATGCAGTCTCCATTACCCACATAATCTGATTAATCATGTCCTTTTCTGGAGTGGGCAGCTATCTCTAAAATCTACTTTGTATGGCTGGCTCAGTCTCATCTTCCATGTCTTCTCCTTAAAGAGGCCTTCCCACTCCTTCAAGTGTGTCCTCTCCACAGCCTCCCCCACACTCTCAATCATCACACACGGTTTTTACGGTGGCATTTATCAGATTATAATATGTGATACATAACACTTACTCAGTGCCACTGTTCCAAATGCTAAGTCTTTAACTCATTTAATCTTTACAAAAATTCTATGCAATAGAATCTGCTGTCACTTTTTTGCCCCCAGTGTTGAGCAACATTCTCAACACCTTTTTTATTTTTTTATTCTAAAACAAGGTCTTGCTAGCTGGCTAAATTGTCCAGACTGAGCTCAAACTTGCTACCTTCCCGCCTCACCCTGGGATTACAGGCCTGTGCCACCACATGCGGCTTGTCATTCTTTCTTTACACTGGTTTGTGTCACACAGCTTTTGAAATGACAAGGCAGAGATTAAACACAGGCAGTGTGATTTTAGAATATCAGCTTTTATATTTTTGTTTATTGACTATCAGTTCCCCAGCTAAGCTCAACACTGAGGACACAGAGTTACCTACTTTGCTTTGTTTGTTTGTTTGTTTTTCTTTTTGAGACAGGGTCTCGCTATGCAGTTCAGGCTGGCCTTGAGCTCACTTTGTAGCCCAGGCTGGCCTCGAACTTGCAACAATCCTCCTGCCTCAGCCTCCGGAGTGCTGGGATTCGGCGTGCGCCACCACGCCCGGCCCTGCTTTGTATTCTCTTTAGCTGATTCTTGTAGTAAGTGCTCAACAACTATTTGTTGAACGGATGAACTACAAAGACTTTGATATAGTCAGAGTGAAAAGAAAGCGGTAGAAGAGAAGGAAGAGGTCTGTCGGAAAAGGCAGAGGTCAACTCACAAGGGCCTGGAACACCAGGCTAAAGCAAACTTAAATTTACCCTCTTGGATGTGGGCAGTAGACAGAGCAAACTTCACACTGTGTTGGGTGGCAAGACAGTCCATCCCTGTAGGTGCTCAACCAATTTTGGTGAATGTCGTTATAACGGATCCTACAAGGCTGCAAGCACCCAGAGGGCAAGGGACTCCTCAGCTTCCTCCGTACCTACCTACCGGGGCGCCGGCTGCCAGCAGGCGCGCAGGGAATGAATGAACCAGGGCACGGCGGCCCTCCCGCCGTTCCCAATCCGGCTTCCTACGAAAAGGGATTGCGGGGGACGCCCGAGAAAGAGCTGTCAGGGACGCTACCCGGGCTAACGCCAGACAGAGGAGCGCGGTGGACCGGCTCCGGGGCCGGGACCACCATGTTATCCAGCTCCACCCTCTCCACCTCCCTCCGGGCCCGCCCCCCTCCGCCGCGACTAGGGACCACTGTGGGCTACGAGCGAGGAAGTTTCTGGCCCCTCACAAAAGAGAGAACAGCAGGTGATGACATGCCACCCTCTTCTGGGGCGCGGACTCCCAGCCCAAAACCCCGGCTCCTCCTACCTCTCGCGCCACCACGGCACCTTCTCAACGGAGACCCAAACGTCTGCGCATGCGCTGCCCGCGCCCGATGGAGACGAGTTGCGTATGCGCAAAGCAAGCGCGCACGCGGGGGGGGGGGGGGGGAAAGGGTTGTCGTTTTCCCATCATGCCTCGCGGCAGCGCGGAGCCGAGCGTTTCCGGGCTGCTTGACACCGGGCGGAAGCGGCGTTTGGCGGGCTGTGTGGTCGTCTCGAGCGACCGTGTAGTAAGTGTTGAGGAAGAATCAGGGTGGGTTTGGCACGGTGGCATTTTTAAGGACGTGTTTCTTGAGTATGGTGACATCCCCCCTCGGAGCACAACTGCCTGTGGAGAGAATAGAGCGGGATAGGAGCGGCCCCGGATCAGGTCCGCGGAGGTTCCTTCCTGTAGCCGGCCGCGGAAAGCGAGGTCCGGGAACCGGGAGCCCGAAGAGGGTTAGACCGCGCCTGCCGACGCCGGCAGCGGACGCCCGAGCTCAGCCTCGCGGAAGGGCGCGAGGGCCAGGCGAGGAAGAAGAGGTTCCCCGTGGCTGGAATTTGAGGGAGTTCCGTTTATTCTTAGTCCTTGGGATGGAACCGAGGGCCTTCACTTGTCCTACGGCCCCCGCCCTTTTTAGTGATTTGTTTTGAGGCAAAAATTGGTCAAGGCGGGCCCGAACTTGTGCTCCTTCCTCAGCCTGCCAGCAGAGTGCTGAGATAGGCTTAGCTAAGAGGGACTTTATAAATCGTGTTAAGATTTGCAGCTCCAACCGAAGGCCATCGATAGCTGCTGAAGGTTTTATTTTTAAAAGTTGTTCTAAACGCAGTGTTAGAAAGGAGTAGCTGAGCTACACTTCAACCCTTAAATGTATTTTTTATTTATAACGTTCTCAACTTTGTGTGTATGTGTGTGTGTGTGTGGTGGTGGTGGTGGTGATGTTGGGGATTGAACCAAGTACCTGAGCTACATTCTCCAGACCGTTTTAACATTTTTGCCAGGCGTGGTGGCCCACGTCTGTAATCCCAGCACTGATGAGGCTGAAACAGGAGGATCCCCACAAGGGTGAGGCCAGCCTGGGCTACATAGTGAATTCAAGGCCAGCCTGTGCTACATGATGAGACCCTAAAAATTGTCTTAAATCAGGCATGGTGGCAATCGCCTGTAATCCCAGCATTCTAGAGGCTGAGGCTGAAGGATGACCAGCCTGAACTACCTGCCAAGACCCCGTTTTTTAAAAAAAAGAGAGAAGGGGGAGGCAAGATTAGAGGCCAGGGGAGACTGCTGTAATCCAAGTGATAAATATGGGTGGCCTGAATTATGGAGTGGAGAGGGTGGTGTAGCATTAAAGTGTTACAAATGCCAGGATCTAATTGGTACGTTTTTGGCTTTAGCATCTGAGTGGAACGTGGTTCTGTGACCGAAATAATGAATACCAGAGAAGTGTGAAAGATTAGATTTGGAGAAAAGATGGTATGTTTCATTCATTTTTTTAAAGATGCAATTCACGTATTGTAAAATTCACTTATTTAAATGTGTAATTCAGGCTGGCTGCAGAGATATGGAGGTCCACAGCAAGTCTTGTGCCAACTCAAGTTCTTCGTCTCCCACCCAGGAGTGTTCAGGGGTCTCAGTGTCCAAAGAGCTACTGACTGCGGGTAATGGCCCAGGAGGTATATGGGACAAATTGCTCATTAACTCCAAACCTAATTCCAGAAAATCCTCTACTCTTCAAACAATTCGGATAGAGAGGAGTCCATTACTAGACCAGGTTCAGCATTTTCTCCCACAGATGGCCCAGGCAAATGAAAAGCTCAGAAGAGAAATGGAAGCCACTCCCCCTGGTCATTTCAATATTGAAAATATTGACAAGACCCTAGGCAAAGTTATACAGATGGATGTGGTCTTATTTGAGATGAATCAGGCAGATTCAAAAGAAGAAGATAGTTCAGAAGAGAGTTCCCAAGACAGTTCGGAAGACAATTCAGAGTCTGAGGACGAGGATGACAGCATCACCATGGATAATATTAAACTTCCTAATTCGGAAGCTGGAAAAGGCAAGATTGAAGTTTTAGACAATCCAGCAACTAACAAGGAACAGTGAAATAAATGATTTAAAAAGAAACTGATACGTACCTGCTAATTCTGTGAAAAAGAATGCGGTTCTAGGTGTTTTGCATCTCTGATAACTGGTGTTCTTATCTGTTAAAAAAAAACTTCAGACAAATCTAACAATTTGAGCAAAGAACAATTCATGAATCAGGCAGCACTGAACAGAAAGGGGTTCCAAGAGCTCTGTTGTGTAGCACGGACAGCAGGCTGAACATGTAGCTGAACACAGACATAAAGTACTTGATCAGTTACAGTGAGCCGTTGCCTTGGTTGGACATGGTCTCATCCATTGGGAGCCTGGGGTTGGCTGAAGCTCAGCTGTTAGGGATTTTTTTGTGAGTCAAGTTATGCACTGAGATTATAATTTTCTCAGTTTTGCACAATAGGGTGACTGTTAACAAATAGTTGTTTCAAAATAACGAGAAGATTTTGAATGTTTTGCTACAAAGAAATGACAAATGTTTGAAGTGACATGTTAATTACCCGGATTTGATCATTACACAATGTTTACAGGTATCAAAGCAATACATTGTACCCCATAAATGTGTACAATTATGTGAAAATATAAATAAATACAAGAAAAAATACACTCCTTAAAAAAAAGTAGTGTGTATAATTCAATGGTTTTTGGTTTATTTGCAAGATTATGCGTGCCACACCATGCAAGTTCCAAGGGTAAGCATCAAGTTTTGGTTATGAGGAAGCAGGAACAAGGGGAAAACCTAAGCCAGTGATGTTGAACCTTTCAGAGCTTTCAATGATACAAGCAACCCACAGCAGCATCCATACCATAAGTTCACCACCACCGCCTAGGCCATAACCTTTATTGGGCTTCTGCAGGAACACAAGTCAGGGCAGAGTACAAATTTTAGGATTGGTTTAAATCATTCCAGCGTGCTTTGTGTTGTAGAGGAGGACTCTAGTTGCCTGGCATCTCACTGTAGGATGGTGGCAGGTAAGGGAAGTAATGGCTTGGTGTAGGAGTTAATAGGAGTAGTTGCCTTGCTTGTGAATGGGATGCTGTCGAGTTATGTAACTGGGAATTATCTGCCCTGGAAGAGGCAGTGTTCCCCTGTCAGCAAGATTTTTACAATATCAGAATACAACAAAATGGACAGTTGTATAGGTAGAAATTATTTTTCTCCCATTGAGTTGTTATTTAAGTAAAGTGAGTTACAGTGTGGCTTAGAGAAGAGTTTGCTCAAAGCGAAGCTTCTCAACTGAATCGTGACTTTTTAAACTGGAAATGCTTGGACGCTGTGGTTTAGGCCTACTAAGTAAACCCTAAGGGAGGGCTTCTAACTGCCTTTTGAAAGTTCCACATGGTGATTTTGATGACCTCTAGATTGGGAACCACTGTATTTAATCCACACCTGTTGAGTAAATCCTGTAAGTGAAGTGTAAGAGCTGAGTAAAAATGATTGGGGTTTAATGTTTAACCTGTTTCCTTCCTTTGAGATAAAGTTATCTGTAGCTAGGGCAGCTTTCTCCTTGGCCCATGGTAAGTGGTGGAACCCCCTCATCCTAGATTCTATTATGACTTCTGTTGAGCAGAAGCATTAGTGTTCATGGTCTCCCAGTGAAATTACACAGAAGTCAAACAGTAACTGAGGGACAGTGTCCATAAACTGTTTCTAGATCCAGGTTATGTCTGTCAGAATATTACTGTTTGTTTCTTACTTTGCCAAAACACTTAAAACAAGGAGATGAAACAATGTTTCAAAGATTAAAAGGTGAAGTCTGTTGTGATGCATGCCTGTAATCGCAGCACTCTGAATGCTGAAGCAGAGGATTGCTGCAAGTTCAAGGCCATCCAGGCTACATAGCAAGACCTTGTCTCAAAAAAAAAAAAAAAAGAAATATTTAAAAGGATTGTCCTGTGTTTGGTTAACCTTAAGTTAATCAGAAAGTGGTGGATTGGAAAAAGTAGTGTTCCGAGGAGAGGATGTTTTCCCCTAATCCTCTGGATATTTTTAGATTCAGGAGAAAGGCAAAGGTTGGATATATTATTATTGTCATAGCCTTATCCACCTGGACAAATTCCTTTTTGAAAACTTCTGGCATTTTTCCACCAAGTTAATCTTTTGAACAGTTCTAAGGAAGAAATGAAAGGCCCTTGCCCCAAGTCTGTGGTGTGCTCATAAATTACAAAGCCAAAAATCTGTCCAGCTCCTCATTTATCTTGGCAAGGATTAGGGAAAGTTACAAATTGAACAAGGAAATAACTATCTTCTCATTTTTGGTCATACTGACTTGTATAATCCTATTTCCCATGTTGCCAAACATGCAATCACGAGAGGAAACAAGTAATGAAGTGTCTAGAAGTTACTGTAGGTTGTGTTGTGCTTCTATCATTGTCCTATCCCTGTTGCCTTTTGCATGATGTAGCTCTACCTGTTTTTTTTTTTTCTGCTAGATAAGTTTAAGGAAGATTTCATATAGATGTACCACCCTCAGTTGCAAAAGATTTTTCCCTAATAAAGATTGATAATGGGGCAGTCCACTAGGTCCTCTTCTGTCTCTCTGACAGCAGCTTGCTTTCCCTCAATAAATACATTCTGCTCTTAACCTCCATTGTTCCTAAAATTCATTCTTCAATTTTAGAGAACACAAACTTGTCCCAGATATCTAGCAGGTTGGGAGTTTCTTTCCCCGATATCATTTGGAGGTCTTCCACCTAGATGATTGGATGGAGGTAAGAGTTTGCTTTTGTTTCATAGACTGCATTGGGACTTTTTAGGTAACAGATTTTTATGTTTCAAATTCTCACCTCATGTCCACCTTTTGAGTTCCCTTGTTTCCCACCTTCCACCCACCTCACCTCATGGGTTTGCTCTATAAAAATCCCTAAAAAAGGCAAGTTCCTTGTTAACCCTATCAGGTCCCATTCTGTCTTTTTTGAACAAAAGCTTACTTTCCCTCAATGAGTATATTCTGCTCTTAAAAAGAAAGATTGATAATGGTGGTCAATTTTGATGTTAAAATAAAGTCATCTTCACTTAGTATTTTTAAGATAGCAATGCTGCCCCATCCATGTACACATTTGTCATAATCCCTATCAAAATTACTTTTTTTTTGTAAAAGTGGAAAAAAATTTTAAAATTCATGTGGAATTACAAGAGACCTCAAATACGCATAACCCAAATAAGGACACATAATTCCCTATTTCAAACAGTACAGAGTTATAGCAATCAAGACTGTGTGGGTATAGTGACACACACCTGTAATCCCAGCACTCAGGAAGTTGAGGCAGGAGGATCATTGGGAGTTTGAGACCAGCCTGGGCTACAACATGAGCTCAAGGCCAACCTGAACTGCATAGTGAGACCCTGTCTCGAAAAGACAAAAAAAAAAACAACAAAAAAACCTGTAGCTCTGGTATAAAGGTAAACATAAATGTGTAGAGTTGAATTGAGACTTCCAAAATAAACCCATATACTTAAGGGTAATTGATGGGGGCGTTGATTTTTGATAAGGGGACCAACACCACTCAGTGGGGAGCAGATAGTATCTTCAAGGAATGTGCTGTGATGACAGGATGTTCACATGCAAAAGAGTGATGTGTAGTCTTATGTAAAAACTCAATGGTCAAAAGACCTAAATACAGTACTCTTAGAAGAAAGTAGGAGTAAATATGACCTTGGACTCCACAATAGATTCTATTTTTTTTTTTTTTTTTTTTTTTTGTTTTTTTGTTTTTCTCTGGTACCAGGAACCAAACTCACGACCTTGCACTTGCCAGGCAGGCGCTTTGTCACTGAGCTAAATCCCCAGCCCCTCCACAATAGATTCTAGATAGCACAACAAAAGCAGAATCAATGAAAGAGAAATACACAAAGCATGAAAAGAATCCATAAAATGGAAGAAAATATTTGCAAATTGTGTATCTGATAAGGGTCTATGGCAAGATCTGAATATTTATGCCCTCCACAACTTCATATGTTAAAATCTTTAAATCCAAGATGACGGTATTAAGAGATGGGCCCTTGGGAGAGAATTAGATCATTAAAGTGGAGCTTTTATGAATGGGATTGGTGCCTTTATAAAAGTCTCCAGCCAGGCATGGTGGTGCACATTAGTAATCCCAGCACTCAGGAGGCTGAGGCAGGAGGATTGCCATGAGTTCCAAGTCAGCCTGAGCTGCAAGTTGAGTTCAAATCCAGCCTGAACTACATAGTGAGACCCAATCCAAAAAAAAAAAGGCTCCAAAATGGGTATGGTGGTGCATGCCTGTAATCCCTGCTACTTGGAAGAGTGAGGCAGGAGGACAGCAAGTTCAACACCAGCCTAGGCAACTTAGCAAGACTCTGTCTCTTTAAAACAAAACAACCTAGAGATTAAGTATGGAGAAATTGGAGCCCTCATACATTCTGGAAGGATAAAACAGTGCAGTTGCTGGTGGTAAACAAGTTTTAGGTACTTCAGCAAGGTAAAAACAATACCCTATAACCCAGCAATTCCTCTCCTAAGTATGTGTCCAAGAGAAATTTTTAAAACTGTTCAAACAAAACCTTGTATCCCATTCATAATTACCAAAAGATGGAAATAGCCCAAATGCCTATCATTGCATGAATGAATAAACAATGTGGTATGCAATGGGATGCAAGGTATAATATGATTTGCTTATTTTAAAAAGATTATATTAAGGAGCCCTTTATTTTTTTTTTGAAAGTTTACATGTTCAATGCAATGAGAATTTCCAGTTTTTATTTTATTTTATTTTTTTGAGACAGGGTCTCACCATGCAGGTCAGGCTGGCCTTAAACTCACTGTGTAGCCCAGGCTGGTCTCAAATTTGTGGTGATCATCCTGCCTCAGTCTCCCAAGTACTGGGACTACAGGCATGCGCGACCTCAATTCCTAGTTTGTAAAAACATGCCTGAAAGCTGATTTCTAATTTTAAAAGTTTGTTGTGAAATATTATATACCAAAGAGCATTAGTAGGTTAAAGAATATTAATAAATTCCGTAAGTGGAAAGTGCTACCACATAGTCTGATTAAAGTATTCTTTTCAGTATTTTAAAATTGTAATTTGTTTTTTGCTTCACTGAATATTTCACTGAGTCAGTCAATTAGTTATAAGGAGAATTCATGTGTATGACATTGCTTTAAAAAGAAGTGCAAGGCCAGGTGTGGAGGCACATGCCTGTAGTCCCAGCACTTGGGAGGCTTGAGGCAGGATTGCGGAGTTTGAGGCCAGCCTGGGCTACAAAGTGAGTTCAAGGCCAACCTGAACAGACGGAAAGAAAAAAAAAAGAACATGCAGATGTCTTACTTATCACATTTGTCAGTTCCTGTGCCTGGGTAATAAGCATCTCAGGGATTAAAATAAACTATATAGTTACTAAAGGAACCTCTTAATTTTGAACCTGAACTGCCCCCAAATACTGAGTTTTACCCTGGGAAGAAAAGAGCATCTGTGAGTTATGTGAGCTTTGGTCTTTTTCCATCCATTATTTCTTAATCCTCTGAAAAATCCTGAGATAAATTTATACTTATTTAATGAAAAAAATTGGCTCAGGGCAGAATTTGCCCAGGGTAACAAGGGCAATAAAGCAGATCTAGGACTCAGACCAGATCTATCTAAATATAAATTGCTGTCC